ATGCTACAATGAACTTTAAGGAAATCTACGTACAATCATACACAGCAAAATGTAAAACCTAATTCTTGGGGCCAGAAGATGACATGGTGACAAGGCACTGGATTCCTACACTAATGAACACAGTGATTCCCAGAGGCCACGGCTTAAAAATCATGGCAGGCGTGTGTGTGCGAGCGCACGCGCCCAAAATCCAGAGAGTAGAGAAGGGATTGTGGTGTGGCCATCCCCCCTGGAGGTGATTTCCCACTTTCCCTCTCACTGTCCATCTCCAGTGAAACAACCTAATCCACTTCTGACAGCCCACCAAAATAGAGTTTTTTGTATGCCATATGATCTGTAAAATTAATCTGAAGAAAATATAATCACCTACATATCTTGTTCAGAGTATGACACAGGTGAATTCCAAATGTATTTGTTTTTTTTAGAGGTTTTTGCCTTACAGTGTGTGTGCTTGCCAGAGAGAGAGAGAGACAGTAGGAGAAAAAGTGAGAAATCGCCCCCCTAGGGAGGATGGCCACACAGTAATTCTCTCTTCTAGGGATCTTGGGGGCACACATGCACACGTGGGTGCAGGACTTGAACTGCAGTCAGCCATGTGGAAGTTCAGCAATGTAACCACTATGCCATCTGCTAGTCCCTGTCTTCTTTTACATTTCTTTCTTTCTTTCTTTTTTTTTTTTTGGTCAAAGGGCATGTGCATTTGCAGAGAGAAAAAGAGAAAGGGAAAGCAACCCCCATGGGGTCATGCTGCAGTTCCTTCTCTTTCATTTTCCTACCCTGTCGGGATTTGGGGCACGCACACACACACATGCCTGGCCTGTTTTTCAAGCCGCTGGAGCTGGGATTTGGACTGAGGTTGGTCATGTGGAATCCAGCTCCATTAGTCACTAGGCTACAGGACTGGCCCTCAAAGTCTTAAGTGGATAATATATTTCAGTATTTTAGGGCTGGGGTTTTCAAACTTTATGGTGCTAAGACTCTGTAATTTTTTAAAATTACTGAGGAAAACATAGAGATTTTGCTTATATAAATTATAACTACCGATATTTACTACAGTTGAAATTAAATGGAGAAATTAAGAAATGAATTCAATCGAAAGTAATAAATATGTTAATAGAAACACATTCTTATGAAAAAAGTATTATATTTTCAAAGACAACAAAAAAATAGCAAAGTGGCATCTTTTCCTGTCTCTATAATTATCTTTTTTCTAATGAGAAAGAGGGAAAGTGCGAGATGGGGTCTTGCCTGCGCCAGCCTCTCAGCCAGGGTCACAGGCACGCATGACTGTGCCCAGCCGTTCAGGTTGGTCAGAGAGCCCAAACCCAGGCCTCCCATGTGGCTCCAGCCCTGCACCGGCTCCCTACCACTCACACCACTGTGGCTGGGCCCACAGTTCTCTCTAATAGAACACAACTGGAGTCTGCATTTACTCTGCTGTGATATTTGTTTTGGTTGAGTATTGAAGAAAATTCAGCCTTAAAAAGGAGAAGCATCTTAACAACCTATTTGTCTTTCGGAAAGTACCAGCTAAATGAGTAATACTCATCTGCACGATGTCACCGTGTTTTGTTAACATAGTGAAAAAGGTCCATAATATCTTATGATAAAAATACTGTGATCTCATGGAATCCTGGAAGAATACTGAAAGAATCCCTGGGATTGATTCAGGAGGGTCTGTAGACCATGCTCGCACCACTCATGTTCCAGATCACACAGGGGACCCAAAGAATCCAAATGACTAGCCTGGCGCAGGACATAGGCACACTCTGAAATCAAGCTCAGATGACTCTGATGCTCACCCAGCTTGGTGCAGAACTCAGGAGAGGGCTACCCTATTTAAAGGAACAGTACACTAAAAACCTCTTGCTAAGTAAAGAAAGTACTTAACCAGATACATAAAGGTCCTTTACACATTTTGTATTTTTGCACGCTGAGCTTTCTTCAAGTGAGAGTCATATGTTGCCCATCACATGCATGTGAACCGGGGTTTATGTACATGGACATGAACAACGCTCTCTAACTTGGCCTCTGTACTAAAGGAAAACCAATGGTCCCAAGCGGTCTTGGCCTGTCAACTGTTATGTGTCCTTGGCTACTGATTTCATACCTTAGTGGGCATCTCAGCATTGTGGAACTACTGAAAACTTATTTACAACATTTGAACAGTTTAATATGCTGGCAAAAATTACAACCTATTTGAGCATGTTCATAATTTCATAAATGCCCTAATAATTATTTGTAATTTTTAGATTTTCAGGGCCCCATTTGGGATTCAAAGGTTTAAGGAAATGACAAAAGTGATGAATGCCCTTTTGCTGGGTGCCATTTGAAATTGGGGGTAAAGCTCTCCAGCAGGCAAGCAGTTTTCCAGTCTTCCTTTTCTGTGCCAGCCTGGTGTGCTATTCTCCCAAGTTCTCCAAGTTACTACAGAGAAAGGTAAAGCAACAAGGGACAGTAACAGGGGGCAGCAAAGTCCCCAGTACCAAAGAAGTGATGCCAAGCCAGTGCCATACCAGCCTGAAACATTTCTTTCACTCCCTACTCTATTTTGGTAATTTCTGAACTAGGTACATCATCTCCTCTTTTCCACGGACGTGCAGTGGGTCCTTGAAAACACAGGATTACAAGGTGCATCTCCTTTGGGTAGGAGTAAATACGTTTTTACATCATTTTACAGAAGTGTGAATACAAACTTTGCATGAACTTGAAGATAAAAAAGCTGTCACTACGGCAGCTTTTACTCTGACTTAAAACACACCTAGAGTTTACTTGCTATTGCTTGGGTTTTTGGTGGATGAGTTTGTGGCATATTAATCTATTTACATACTCTTTGAAGAGAAGCTTTAAAACTAAAAAGAAAGGAGTTGGATTGTTGACAGAATTTTAGGAGTGGGTTCCTCTGCTGTTGACTCTTGGGGGCATTTCACACTACTGGCCTATCACTTCTTGAACTTTTAGACATGGCAGTTCCAATGACATGACAATTCCTCGGCTCAGAATAAGCTTATATAAACCAGAAGTTTATTAAGTAAGAAATACCCAGTTTAAAGGAATGTAATATTAGTGGTGAATTACTTTCTTTCTAAAAATTACCTTTCAACAATTACAAAACATCCTGGATATTTAAAATTCAGAATGCAAAATAAAACTTACTGATTTATCAATTCACTTTGGTTTGTGATAAATCAAATAAATGTAGATTAAGATGTCTTTGCCCCGACTTTATTATTAAAATTTCTGCATGCTCAGGCTAAAATATTAGTGATTTATACACCTTGCTCTGCAGTATAAAAAGGTCAATACTAGAAAGGGCAGGCACCCAACTGAAGTTAACCCATAGCACCTTGGAGTGTGGGCCCGTATTTTCAGCTCTCTGGAAGCTTTATTTTACTAAAACAATAGCCTATAAAAAGGAATAGAATTGAGAGGCACTCACTAAGTGGACCCATTGTAGGATGAAAGCGCAAAAGGACAATGCAGACGGGCGGGGTTGGGGGGCAAAGCGCTGGTTACATTTATTTTAAATGTCCACAACAAAATCAGCACAAATTACATAGGAGTCCCAGCAGGGGTGAGTTCTTGCAGCGAGTGGCGTGGCAGCTCCCTGCATCCGTTCTGCAGTTCTGCTATCGCTAGCAGTTAAAGCGACAAAAACCTTGGCTCTTATTCAGCCTCTCATTTAACGGCTCTTTGCAGCCATGCTTAAAATGGCTGGGATTTTCGCTACACTGCGGAAAGAACTCCGGCCCCGGGAAGCAGCCTTCGTGGTCCAGCCTCCCCTTTCAGTCCGGGCCAGGCCAAGGAAAAGCAGCAGAAACCACAGCGCCGCTCAGGGACGGCCTAGGCCACATCGCAGGATCGCGGCCACCACTCAGTGCGCTCAGCACCCGGGCCG